TTACCATTTGCATTGGCTTGTTGAGACCTGAAAAGGGGGAGTGTTGAGGGCAGGTATAAAGTGGGGTAGAGAATGCTTGCTCTCTTTTTTTTTTTTTTTAAACATAGACCTTCATGAGCAACTTCATTTGATGTGTCATCAGTATGACAAATGCGTGTATGTAGGCGTCTGTGTATATAGATTCATATGAGTAATCAGTGTATTAAAGGAATAGATACCTCATCAACTATATCCTTGTGATATATAACCAACTAGCCTGGATGGGATGATGTAGAATTATTTTTTTCTGATCTTATAGTGTAATGCAGTTATTAAAAGGTCAACTAACTGAGGGGCACCTGGGTGGCTCATTGGGTTAAGCACCGCCTTCAGCTCAGGTCATGACCTCAGAGTCCTCGAGTCCAGCCCTACATTGGGCTCCTTGCTCAGCAGGGAGTCTGCTTCTCCCTCTCCCTCTCCCTCTGCCACTCCCCCTGCTTGTGTGCATGCTCTCTCTCTCTCTCTCTCTCTCTCTCTCTCTCATAAATAAATAAATAAATAAATAAATAAATAAATAAATAAATAAATAAATCTTAAGAAAAGAGGTCAGCTAAGCCAACTCCTTCATTTGGTAAATGAGAAAACTTAAAAGCTAAATGGTTTAAGTTTATATACCTACTTGTTGGTAGAGCTGGGCACTCAGCCTATTTTGGCAGATTCCAGATTCGATGCTCTTTCCCCACTCAGCAGCTGTCTGTCCTCCACTAAGCTTGGCCCTTAAGGGAGGCCCTAATGTATTCTGGTCAGGGGAGCGATAGACTCCACTTGTCACCCACCTTGCAGCTCGCTGGTGAGCTTACCCTGGCAAGTTCCCAAGCCTTTGGAGCCTCGACTTCCTCATATGTAACCTGATGATGGTACCCACGTCACACGGCTCTTCAAGGGATTCAATGATGTAATGCATAGAAGCTTGCTTGTTTTTTTTTTTCCCAGAGATCCTGACTTACTGTAAACCTTTAGTAAATGATTCTATGCTTATATAAGGTAACTCCTTTAGAAATAATTCTATCAATAAACATTTGTTGTAAAAAATCCTAATGTGCAGATAAGCATAGAGAAGATAATGAGAAGCACCCATAACACCATCATCTAGAAATAAGCTCACCTGTCTTATGCATTTTTCTCATTTAGTTTTGATTGCACTTACTATCTGAAAAATACAGCATGAAATTCTCTAGGTCAGTGATCCATTAGAGCCATACACTTCACATTAATCATGAGAGAACAGACCATAACAGGACCTGATAATTATTCTTTCAAAGGAGTAGAATGTTACTCTAAAGTTGCACCAGTTACATATAAATTGGTGCATATATATATCTCCTACTCATTTTTGTTGTAATTTTATTACTTTTTCATCTTTAAATTCTAACTGGAGCTGTATATGTATCTTATCCATGGTTTCCATTTTCTTAAATATAATGAACTGTCCATTCTACAGACCTTGAAAGTAAGTGTGACCTACATGAGTTGTTAAGAGATTTTGTTTTGATTCACACTGCTCATGATTAAGCTGCAAAACCTTCTCAGATCAAAGAAGCTTAAATCATGGGGAGGAGGCATGTCAAAAATAAAATTGGTGATTTTATATCTCCTTATTCCAGAAAGGTGATTTATAGGTCTTTGTCTCCGTGGAATATGTGTTAATGCTCCAAAGTTCTAGCGTGGCTGGTCTTTTTCTGTTTTTCCTACCTCTTCATTTTGTGGCCTGAGGATAGTGCACTAAAAACAATGGGTTCTGGGAGAGGAGTTTTACCCTCAAGTCGAAGGTTATTTGAGTAATGGTTTACCTATTCTATTGATTGTTGTGTGGATGTTGCCATGAATCCAGGGGGTTTTCAGTGCTTAGATGTACTCTGGTGATTTGTGGACTATTTTAAGGCCATCCAGTTCCTTCTCTGGCAGAGGTCTTGAGGCAGGGCTCCCCAGCTCCCAGGAGCTTGGCAGGGGTGGGAGTGGATGGCAGGAGGGTGCCACCTCCATGGTGTCTGCACCTGGGGCAAATACAAAATCCTGTCCCAGGGAGAGCACCGAGGGTCACAGTTGGAAAAGTATGGCCAAAGGAGTGGGCATAGGAAGGCAGCAGGCTGAGGCAAACCATGAGAGTTCTAAGAAGAGATGCTAAGAATAATGTGAACTAGAAGAGCATCCGGATCAGGAAGGCAGTGGACTCATTCTAGGGTCCAGCTTTCTTGGGAAGATGCTGTGCTTGTGGGATGGGGGGGTGGGGACGGGTCTCAATAAATGGTCCTGGGTAAATCAGGAAGAAAACAAAATTAGGGATTAGGAAGTTGAGTTATTAGCATTGAGCAGGGTTTTCCCTGAGTGTTATTAATGACACTCTTATTTAGGAAAATGTTGCTCATTTGAGGGCTGTTTGTTCCAGTACTTGGAGTTATTGCCAGTATTGGCTTTCTTCCAATCTTGGTAATCTTCTGAGGTTTAGAAAAAAAATATGCCCCCCCCCACACACACATACACACTCTTCCCATGGAAAAATTGGTTTGTGTATAATTTAATTATTTTGTTAGCCAGTCATCCTATCACTGTGTACAAAAACTGCAACCTTAAAAACCCCCCATCTTCGTTTGGTGTCAAGATGTTCATAATTGGTTTTTCCTCCATTACAAGTGAATGTGTGACAGGAAGATTTCTTGCTAAAAGCTAAAATACACTGACTCCATATTCTGTCCTTTCAGAAATGCCCTTGAAGGCTTGCAAAGTATTATCCAGTGATTTAGAGTAACAAGAACTGAGATCAATGATGAGTTTCGAAGAGGAATTAAAGTCCTGAGTATTCTGTAGGGAGGTCATATTTTAGAAGATCACCTTGGACAGTATTTTCATCAGAGTGAATTTTGGAAGGTTCTTTTCACGATGGGAGAGTGAGGAGGGAACATACTGTCTTTTGTCAATGTCTCGTCTCACTAATGTCTCTCCTTTTGGTTGACTGTATTTATTCGTAGTCTTATTTCATCTTGCCCTAATATGCTATTTGTGGGGAAATTTTTTATCTTGACATGTTGCCGTGAACATTTGAGTTACTTAATTTAGTGTGAGGCTGACTTGAGATCTGCCCCCGGCTTGCTACTCCTCATCCTTTTTGTGTGGGGTTGAAGGTCTCGCTGTGGAAAATGCTAGCTTCAGACCATTTGAAGCCTTCATGTTATAAATATGCTTTATAGCAATGTTTTATTTAGTCCATTTACAAAAATTTAATTCGAAGTAAATAATTCATTCTGGCCTAAGAATGCAAGGTACAGATGTTTGCACTGCTGCTGGGACCAGCTGAGCTTCATCTGCTTGCAGGCTGCCTTTCCGCTGGTTTTCCCTCATTTTTCACATTTGTGAAGCTCCAGATATTGCTTCTCGTGGTGATATTGCCGTAAGGTCTCCGTAATTAGACATGGGCATCCAAGGCAAGTTAGTATTTTCGTTCCTTGTGAGTAGAAACCATTTTAGCTTTCCTCCTGGGGAGTCCTTTTGAGTCTCTGAAGTCATTCACAAATACAGTAAAGTCTAATTTTACTCCACAAGAAAAAAAGAGAGAGAATATTGCTCTTTTTCTATCCAGGGACTCCGCCCTCCCCCAAGCTTTGCTGCCCTCCGTTTATTGCTTTCACATCTTTGTAGTGGCAGATGGCTTTATGCAAATCACGCGGTTATTTTGGTCATAGTAAAAATCACCTTGCATTAAGAGCAATTTCTAGATTAGGGAAACTGCTGTGTTTGTTTGAAAATGTACCTAGGGCTGGAGGGCAAACTATCTCGACCGAATCTGAGTTACTGACCAAGAAAGAAGGCTGTGGCCCTGTGTGCACCTGCCTTCTCGGTGGCCCTCCCAGGATGGCCCCCACCCGCTTGCTCCCTTGGTTCCCGTAGGCCTACCTGGCCAGAGGAGGATTGTAGATAAAGGTATTTTCTGTGGCTTTTCATTAGCCATCTTCAATACTCTCATCGTGTATTTTTGCACAGGTGATGTGCCACTGTGGAATTGTACGGTCAGTTTTAACAAAGAGGCCAGCAATCTTAGTGCAGTTTTCTTTTTTCTTTTACTAGAAATTGTGATTCTGCCTAATTTTTTCCAGTAACCTTTTGGAAGTAATTCAGGTGCTTTTTCCTCTTCCCCTCAACTCTCTAAACTTTTGTGCATTGACAGAACAATCCATCTTCTAGAATGGCTCTCACAAGATTGCTGGGGGTATTTTTCCCCCTTTTTCCTTTTATCTCTTTCTCCAATACTTTTTACCATCTTCTTCCCTGAGATGAGATAGTGTGAAGTGAACAGCCAGAAAATGAGGGAAAGCCTTGATCAATTAGCCTTAAACGATCAGCTGCTTTCCTAATTCTGAGATAAATGATTGAGCTCTGTGGCTCAAATGCCATGCTGCTGCTTTTCCAGTCATGCCACCCACAGATAATCATCCCTGTCCTTCCATTCTCATTCCTCTGCAGTCTCCGTTTTTTACCTTTCTGCTGTGAGCCCCCACCCCCTTGTGGTGTAGACGCTTGAGGGAGTCAGTGCTTGAGAAGTACTGTGAAGGACAGATATAAAGTGTAATTGTGGCCTTCTTTAGACCTTTGCTATTGTTCTTCTTTTTTAAGATTGATTTTATTTATCTATGAGAGACACACAGAGAGAGGCAGAGACACAGGCAGAGGGAGAAGCAGGTTCCTCACAGGGAGCCCGATGTGGGACTCGATCTTGGACCCAGGATCATGCCCTGAGCAGAAGGCAGACGCTCAACTGCTGAGCCACGCAGGTGTCCTGCTATTGTTCTGTTTGAGAGGTCACCTGCCTCTACTGCTAGCTGAAAGCATGAAAATCTGACTAATCATAATAACAACGCACTTAAATGTAGTGCTACTCATGAGCCAGGAATGGTGCTTGGTACTTTGTATGGACATTACTTGGTTTACAGATGAACCGACACACCGAGTGTCTCTCGTGTATTTTTCAGGTTGAAAATTGGTGTCCTCATTTACCTTGGAGAGCAAAAAATCCCTACGAAGAAGCTGATCATAATTCATTGGTGAGTGATTTTTGGAAACTAGGCTTGTGATTTGGTTCTGATGCCAAGTGGTACATGGGGAGTCTGCTAGAAATGCCAGCTGTAACCCTGAAATAATGGTGAACTAAAGGACTTCTGTCTGCAGTTCTGTGGAAATGTGGGTGATCCAATCAGTTAACCAGTAGTGTCTGTTTCTTGAGCAGTTCTCTGAGGCCACCGATAGGAATAAGACCTGGTGCCAGATGTGGAGGCTCTCAGCGATCTAATGAGGGTGATGGTCAAAAATAATGATCACACCCATGTAAAGGTGAACTGCAGGCCGATGGAAATGAATGAGAAAGTGGCGATCTCAGCCTGCAGGGGTTAGGAGAGGTTGCAAAGAGACAATGACATTGGAGCTGAATTTCAAATGATGAGTGAGTTCATAGTAGATCAAGGAGAGAAAGGTGTGTCTGATGTGTAGGGGGGAAGGTATCTGTACAAGAGCTTGGTGTTTTCAGGGAGTGGGGCACAGTTCAGTGGGCCAGGCCCCGGGGTGTTGGATGAGCTTTGGTGGAAGATGAGATGGGAAAGATCAGTAGGGACCGAACATGGTTTTCTGTGCCACACTAAAAGCTCTTATGTCTTTCTTCTTTAGAACAGGGGTCAGTAGACTTTTTCTGTAAAAGGCCAGATAGTGAATATTTTCATCTTTCCAGGCCATGAGGTCTCTGTTGCAACTGGTGAGTTCTGACCTTGAGCTCAGAGGGCAGCCCTAGACAGGATGTAAATGAGTGGGTCATGCTCCCAGAGGCTCTGTGTTCCAGGAGGATCTGGAACAGTGTGCTGACCACCATGCTATAGACCATGGGGGTCTTGGGAGAACGTTGGGTCAAGGAGGGATCAGGTGAGTGTTGGGAACAAAGTGTGTGACTGCTGAGAGATGGAGTTAGCATGTTCTAGATGTTATGAGAAACAAATACAAGTGCTACTGTTTTCCTGTTAATGTGATCACTGGTTGTATCCAGATACATTAGAAAAATGTTCCTCCTGGTTTTTCAATTATTCTGGCCTGAATTTTTAATTTTATTCAGCTATGGTAGGAAAATGATATTGCTGGCTTTTAAATCTCTCAGAAAATAATGAACTTTTGTTGGTTTGGGACTGGGACAAAACTAGAAGATGAGCATTTATTTCCCTGCTTAACTTTGTGGGCAGACAGGCTTTTTGGACACTTGCACAATGCCAAGCAGCCTGTTAAGAATTGACTTTTTCCGAGTAAAAATCTGCTTTGCAGCAGATCCAAGTGGCAGTAAATTCGGGTGCAGAGAATTTCAAGGTATATCGAGCATAAACTCATAGTAAAAAACAACAACAACAAAAAAACACATTTTAATATAACTCAGTGCTTTGCAATGGCTGTGCTGGGTCTTCCTCAATTTCTAATTTTTTAATGATGTCCCTGACAGCAGATCAGCAGTCAGAGGCCTTTAATTTATAATCCTGGGGCCTTAACATAAAGCTGCCCAGCAGACAAGCCTCACTTTTGAAGCTCTGTATTTAATTGACTAGCTCTTTTAAGTCTTTAGATGTCACATCATGACAACCATTATGCTTTCTGACTTTTTATCTTCAGTTCGTTTTGATTAAATTTCTGTTTCTAGGCGGAAATTCGTACGGATTTTAATATTCTCTACAGCATGATGAAAAAGCATGAAGAATTCCGGTGGATGAGACTCCGGATCCGGCGAATGGCTGATGCGTGGATCCAAGCAATCAAATCCCTGGCAGAAAAGCAGAATCTTGAAAAGAGAAAGCGGAAGAAAGTGAGTTTCTGATGAATTCAGTTCAGTTAGATGCCAGTTTTCTTTTAAAATCTGATTTTGCTTGGAAACAAGACTAAGAGAAATGTCAAGTCTCAAATGATATTCCCTCAGGGTGAATCTGCTCAGTCTCTTGTATAGCCATTTTTTTGGGCTTTTCCCCGATTACAATAATGCTGCTTAGTAGGTACCAGCACACATGTTTCTTGGCTGGAGCCAAATAGACTGTAAGATTTTCCTTTGAACCATCCTGACTGTCTCTCCCCATGGCATCAGGAAGCTTAACCCTCTTGGCTTTACCCAAATACAACCTTGAACTTGGCGTTACATCATCATGGCAATCTCCTGTTTGTGGTACTTGTCGCTTCTGGGGTTTGGGCAACTGGTGAGTTCCATTGCTGCTATGTTGAGTTGGTGCTTTGGCTTCTGATCCTGAGGGAGAGAGATTGTCAACTAAACTGGAGCCAATTTATTTGAAGTTCATGAGGATTGGCTTAGAAAATCCCTGGAAATAACCCTGAGCGTGAAAGATTTTATACCCTATAGTTGCAAGTTAAATGGCCTTGGCTTTTGATTAACTGTTTGGATGACAAACGACAGAGCAAATTAAGCGATCTTAATACCCACATCTAAAAATTAATTAAAAATGACTTTGTTATTCCTGATTTGAGTAATTTGATATCCTCAAAAAAGGGAAATAGAGATGATGAGCTTGAAAAACCTCAAGTCATGGTTTAGCGGTTCCATTTTGCTTAAATCTGTTGATTTTATGAGATGGCAGGTCCAATGTTCATGCACCAGATAGTCCTCTGTAGAAGGGTACGAGGTCAGAAATCTAGGTAGGCTGTAAAAAGAAATTGAGTATTTCTACATATTCCTATGCAATAATCTCTAGGATATATTGTTAGCTCAATAAATAGTTGATGGGGAACAGTGAATGTTATTTTTAAAAGGAGGAGAGGACTTTATGTATCTATACGTGTGTACATAAAGATTTGTACATCTACACACCTGTATATATAATACACATTTATGCTTGTTAATATTTTTTAAAATAGAATAAACCATGAAATTAAAAATAAAAGAGATGGATAGTGGTGCTTGGTTGTATAACATTGTGGGTGTACTTAAGGCTACTGTCCACTTAAATGGTTAAAATATTAAATTTTATATTAACATCTATTATACCACAGTGAAAAGAGACAAATACAGGGAAAGAGGGAATGAATAGCATGGAGCCAACAGGTGTAGAAACTAGACTTCTCTAAATATATCTTTCTTGGTAGATTTGATACTAGAATCACTTGACATACTGTAAAGCAAAATTGAATTATAAAAAAAAGGTATCTAAAAATTACAAGGAAAATAAAACAAGAGCTGACTACATAGTTTTACAGTAAACACCCAAAAACAACAGTTCTTAGTGACTAGAACATAGTCAACTCAGCAATTTGGGTTTTTTTTTTTCTTCTTTGTATATTTTTATTGGGGTTTGATTTGCCAACATATAACACTCAGTGCTCATCCTGTCCAGTGCCCCCCTCAGTGCCCGTCATCCAGTCACCCAATCTCCCCACCCGCCTCTCCTTCCACTACCACTTGTTCATTTCCCAGAGTTAGGTGTCTCTCATGTTCTGTCCCCTTTTCTGATATTTCCCACTCATTTTCTCTCCTTTCCCCTTTAATTCCTTTCACTATTTTTTATATTCCCCGAATGAATGAGACCATATAATGTTTGTCCATCTCCAATTGACTTACTTCACTCAGCATAACACCCTCCAGGTCCATCCACGTTGGTGGATATTCATCCTTCTTAATGGCTGAGTAACATTCCATTGTATACATAGACCACAGCTTCTTTATCCATTCATCTTTCGAAGGCACTGAGGCTCCTTCCACAGTTTGGCTATTGTGGACATTGCTGCTATAAACCTCGAGGTGGGGATCCCTGGGTGGCACAGTGGTTTAGAGCCTGCCTTTGGCCCAGGGCGCGATCCTGGAGACCTGGGATCGAGTCCCACGTCGGGCTCCCGGTGCATGGAGCCTGCTTCTCCCTCTGCCTGTGTCTCTGCGCCTCTCTCTCTCTCTCTCTCTCTCTCTCACTATCATAAATAAATAAAAATTAAAAAAAAAAATAAACCTCGAGGTGCAGGTGTCCCAAAATTTCACTGCATCTGAATCTTTGGGGTAAATCCCCAACAGTGCAATTGCTGGGTCGTAGGGCAGATCTATTTTTAACTCTTGAGGAACCTCCACACAGTTTTCCAAAGTGGCTGCACCAGTTCACATTCCCACCAACAGTACAAGAGGGTTCCCCTTTCTCCACATCCTCTCCAACATTTGTGGTTTCCTGTCTTGTTAATGTTCCCCATTCTCACTGGTGTGAGGTGGTATCTCATTGTGGTTTTGATTTGTATTTCCCTGATGGCAAGTGATGCGGAGCATTTCCTCATGTGCTTGTTGGCCATGTCGTCTTCTGTGAGATTTCTGTTCGTGTCTTTTGGCCATTTCATGATTGGATTGTTTGTTTCTTTGCTGTTGAGTTTAAAAAGTTCTTTATAGATTTTGGAAACTAGCCCTTTATCTGATACGTTATTTGCAAATATCTTCTCCCATTCTGTAGGTTGTCTTTTAGCTTTGTTGACTGTATCTTTTGCTGTGCAAAAGCTTCTCATCTTGATGAAGTCCCAATAGTTCATTTTTGCTTTTGTTTCTCTTGCCTTCATGGATGTATCTTGCAAGAAGTTACTGTGGCAAAAAGGGTGTTGCCTGTGTTCTCCTCTAGGATTTTGATGGAATCTTGTTTCACATTTAGATCTTTCATCCATTTTGAGTTTATCTTTGTGTATGGTGCAAGAGAGTGGTCTAGTTTCATTCTTCTGCATGTGGATGTCCAATTTTCCCAGCACCATTTATTGAAGAGACTGTCTTTCTTCCAGTGGATCGTCTTTCCTCCTTTGTCGAATATTAGTTGACCATAAAGTTGAGGGTCCACTTCTGGATTCTCTATTCTGTTCCATTGATCTATGTGTCCGTTTTTGTGCCAGTACCACACTGTCTTGATGATCACAGCTTTGTAGTACAACCTGAAATCTGGCATTGTGATGCTCCTGACTCTGGTTTTCTTTTTCAATATTCCCCTGGCTATTCAGGGTCTTTTCTGATGCCACACAAATCTTAAGACTATTTGTTCCAACTCTGAAGAAAGTACATGGTATTTTGATAGGGATTGCATTGAATGTGTTATTTGCTCTGGGTAGCATTAACATTTCACAATATTTATTCTTCCAATCCATGAGCATGGAATATTTTCCATCTCTTTGTGTCTTCCTCAATTTCTTTCAGAGTGTTCTATAGTTTTTAGGGTATAGATCCTTTACCTCTTTGGTTAGGTTTATTCCTAGGTATCTTATGCATTTGGGTGCAATGGTAAATGGGATTGACTCATTAATTTCTCTTTCTTCAGTCTCATTGTTAGTGTATAGAAATGCCACTGATTTCTGGGCATTGATTTTGTATCCTGCCACACTGCCGAATTGCTGTATGAGTTCTAGCAATGTTTGGGGTGGAGTCTTTTGGGTTTTCTATGTAGAGTATCGTGTCATCTGCAAAAAGAGAGTTTGACTTCTTCTTTGTCAATTTGAATGCCTTTTATTTCTTTTTGTTGTCTGATTTCTGAGGCTAGGACTCCTAGGACTATGTTGAATAGCAGTGGTGAGAGTGGACATCACTGTTATGTTCCTGATCTTAGGTGAAAGGCTCCCAGTGTTTCCCCATTGAGAATGATATTTGCTGTGGGCTTTTCGCAGATGGCTTTTAAGATGCTGAGGACAGCTCAGCATTTTGGTTAATATATTACAAAGGACAAAAAACCTGCAAAATATCTAAGTTTTACAGAGTTTTACTAAGTTTACACATAGTAGGTGGATATTCTCATTCCAAATCCCTTTTGCATATTGGAATAAAGCAAAGTACTATGTTAGTATCCTTGAGAAGTGGGATTTTTTTTCCATGTGGGATAGGCAAATAGCATATGTAAGATGGATAATGTTATGCAAAGCTATTGTAATCCTGAGTTTGAATGGGAAAGACCAGTGTGAATTTATGATTTGTTTTTTCCTGGAGAAGAGAGAAATTTCCAGCTTCCATTGAAATTTTCCATGGAAAATTTCAGGGCTACAGAAAGTGACTAACTAAAGTGTCCCCTCAGCATCAGACCTTGATCTTGAGATGCCATTTCCACTAAATGGTATAAGAGGTTCTTGGAAAAATCATTGGTTAAGGTCTGAGACAGAAGCTGTACATGAAGACCTGGGAACACCTGTCACAGCAGAGAGCAAAGAAACTCTCAAGGGCTACTAGAACTGTGTCAGAAGAACTTTGAAGCCAACTTGAACAGCCTCCCATTGGCAAGATGGGACAGTTTGATAATCCATAAGGATAATAACTACAGTTTACTGAAGCACATCTAATATACTTCTATCCATGATTTTATAATGATACCTTTAAAAAGCCTGTTGATAGTCATTAGAGTATGCTAAAAGAACACATTTGTTATTTTGAAAATTGATAAATAAAGGGCAAGAGTCAAATATTTACCAGACTTTTTCTATGTAAACTGTACTTCAGCAGAGCCAAATAGTTTATGGGAGGCGGGAGGAGTTGTTTCTCTTCATAGAAGCATTCCAGCCAATAAATGCAGAAGGAATAATAGAATATCACCATTTTGCAACCCCTAGTGGGTGAATGCATCCAGTTAGTGGTCATCACGATCTGCAGACATCACCAGAGACCCCAGACGTTATTTCCCCTAGTGGAAGTACACACAGTACTACCTATGAAGTAGTGTTGCCAAAAACATCAAATATGAATTTGATCATGGCTGCAGATCTAATGACTAATTTACTGTAAATACGAGGGACAGAAGAACGTGTTATGTAATGAACAAACTGCAAAGTGCGAGAGACTCTACCAGAACTACAACCAGTCTCTTTGACAAATAAATTAAAACTCTCCCCACCGCCAAAGGATGGGGGTAAAGGAGCCTAAGGAATAAATGAGATGATTCTAGTTAACACACTTTATTTGACTTCTGGCTTAAACAAGTGCACTTCAAAAAAGGAACAATTGAGGAAGTATAAACATTAACTAGATATTAGATGATATTAAGGAATTAATAGCTATTTTAGGGGTGATGGCGATGTTATGGTTATGTTTTTTAACTGAAAGTTTTGTTTCTTTTAGAGATACACACTCAGGTATTTGCAGATGAAAGGATATGATCTCCTGGATTTGCTTCAACATAAGCTGGGCAGGGAGGTTGGGAGAAAATGAGTGTGTACATTAAGATTTACCCTGAGCTGCTAATTGTGAAATTTCTGTGATGAGCACATGGGAATCGACTGCATTATTATGTCTGATTTCAGATATGTTTGAAATTTTTTTATGTTCAAACCTTAACAGTGGTGGGGAAAAAAAACCCCAATATTGTTAAATGCTACTTTATTGCACTGGCTTACCCTCCTTGAATTCTGATTTCCCAATTATATCCTGCTTTTTAAAAACAGATTGTCCACATGTCATGTTCATAGCCATAAAAGGGACAGTAGTGACTTTATTTTCTTTCATTTCTTTGTACCTTCTAGAAAAATCTTATGCCATGTCGAGGTTTCATTAGAAAATAAACATCACTTTAGAATTGGTTGATTGCTTTTGATGTGTTACTATGGAGTTTGTACTTGGTTCAGTGGGAATCAATATATGCCTCTCCTTTGTTTTTGTTTTTTTTTTTTCAGGTCCTCGTTCACCTGGGACTCCTGACTAAGGAATCTGGATTTAAGATAGCAGAGACAGCTTTCAGTGGTGGCCCTCTTGGTGAATTAGTTCAGTGGAGTGATTTAATTACATCTCTGTACTTACTGGGCCATGACATTAGGATTTCAGCTTCACTGGCTGAGCTCAAGGAGTAAGGAGATTACTTTTCAATTTTAAAATCAGAATACAAAAAAGAAATTGTAAACTCTTAAAGCCCTCTATTAGTGTGTAATTTCTTGTGGAGGAAAATGAAAGTGATAATTCACTAAACAGGAGATAAGAAGATTATTTTCAGGAGCTAAATACATACACTGTGAAAAGGATAATATGTTTTCATTGTAGCTGCAGGCTCCAGAGGCTTCGTAAATGAATGCCAGAAAATTCAAAGTAAGGAGCTTATTCTTTGCTATTACAGGTGCTTCCAACATGTGCAGCACAAAACATTATTGACTTTCCTAATTCCCTGTCTCTTGCTGAAATTCATACCATTCCCTACTCAACTTCAAGCTTTCCAAATCTTAAATAGGGAAGGTTCCTGTTTATAATTTAATTTGGATAGAATGAGTTTCTTGAAAGCCCTGATGCAGTACTCTTTCAATAAAGCCAACTTTCCACTCTGAGTCTGTTAACTCTACCTGGCTTTTCTGTTTCCCTGCAGTCTGCTTCTGGCTCTAGCTCTCTCTTAATCTCTTATAGGTTGACACAGCTGGCTAGGCAGGAATGCTTAGCACCCCTTCACTCCTTTTGGTTAACTGCCCATGGAGACTTTCTACCCAGCAGCCAAGTTATCATGTTGCAGTATGTCAGATGTTCCAGAAGAAATATCTTGAGTGAACATTCTAGAGATGGGTGTTAAAATATGTCCCACCCTGCTCCTATATTATTGTATGAGACATTGATGCCCAGAGAGGTCACTTGTGTTAGGGCTAAGGTCTACACACTTAATTAGTGGCAATGTTGAGTTGAAAGCAGTATTATCAAATGTCATTTTTAAAGATGCTATGTGCTAAAACTGTGATAAAAGCATCAGTTACAACAGTAGTGTCAGTGGTTAAGACCATAGTATTGATGACTCTTAATAACTAAGTTTGCTGAGCACCTACTGTGCATCAGATATTAAGCGTTTTATATACTATTTACACAAAGTTGGAAGTAAGTGCTGTTGCTTTCTGCCTTTTAAAGATGAGGAAACAGAGTTGTTTAAGAGTACATGGAGAACACCTGAGAGAGCCAGGATTTGAATTCTATGTCTATCTGATTTCAAAGTCTGTGCTCTTGACCACTGTACTGCACTGCTCCTTTTGCCTTCTGACCCCCTAAATACCACCCTTGTCCCTTCAGCATGCTGCCACCTGCTTGCTTTAAAACACATTATGTGCATGGCATGTGAGGTAGAGGCATTCATACGTTCAGCAGTCATTCCTTCAGTGCTCTCTGTGTACCAGTTCTTGGTGTGGGATATACAGATGACCAGCATGTGTTCAAGGAAATGTCAATCTTTTGGTAATTACAGCTAATACATTGCATAATAATTACACTAATTGCAATGTGATTAGTACTAATTGAGGCATGGATGCTAGAATGTAAGCCAAGGGAGTACAGAAACAGTGAATATTGTTCCCCCATGGTTTACATGGCACCTCAAATAGTGCCTAGCACCCAGTGTGTGCTTATAACTAGTTAACTTGAGCAAACAAATGAAGGGATGAGTTAAGGAATGAGTGAGTGGGTGATTAAATGGAAAACTGTGGGAACTCTAGGGATAAGTGTTCCCTAGGGAGATCAGAAGAGGCCTATTAAGGCTCTACCAGGGAGAGACTTAATTCATTGGTCAAGAAGTCTATAGGGTTCTTTAAGCACTGGTAACAGAACAAGGTGTGTTTATTTAAGAAGATAATCATGCAAGCAACAAAAAGCAGTGGTTTCTGAACAGGCCTGAACATTAGAATCACCTGGGAATCTTTGTGGACTGCCAATGCCCAGAACATATCCCAGACTAATTAAATCACAACTTTTGGAGATGGGACCCAGGCACGAGTATCTCCATGCCTCTAGTTCATTCCAGTGTGCAGTCAGGCTTGGGAACCGCTGAAGACAGGGTAGACTAGGAGTCCACATATACTTGCACAGTGGGCCAGGTGCAGTCTTCTGTGTGTTTTTATCAGTAAACTTCCATGGGAACACAGCCACACCTATTGTGGATCTATTGCCTGTGACTGCTTTTGCTCTTCAAGGGCAGAGCGGCATGGTTGAGAGAGAGGATGTATGGTCTACAAAGAGGAAAGTATTTACTATCTGGCCCTGTGTAGAAATATTTTCACGTTCCCGGAGAGAAATTGGTTATCCAGAACCTGATATTTTCAGAAGGCCCAATGAGAGGAGAAGGATACCTGAAGCCGTGGCAGGATGGAGCTACAGAGCAGAGTCCTGCTTTTATGATTCATTCTTTGAAGTTGATGGCCAGAATTCGGTAAAGGATGGTTATGGGTTGTGGGCAGGGGTAAAAGGCATCAATGATGACTAATTTCTGGGTGAGTAGAGGTGTGGTTTGGTGAGCACATTTTACTCCTGCACCCAAAGTTGGCATAAGATCAAATATGTCGATGCTGTCTGAGTGCAAGCGTGGGTTTGTATGGATGGGTTGAAGAGATGGGTGGCTTGAAGGAAGGGTAATGAAAAACTAGCTCAGTGCCAGTTACATAATGCAGTCTAGTCAGAAGGAAACGTTTGACAGAAAAGATTAGGAAACAGTACAAGACAATATAAAAGTTTATGTTGTAGTGGCTAGAAATTAAAGACATTGAAGAGGTCAGGAGGGGCTGCAGTATGAGAACAGGTTCTGTGGCAAAAAGCAATAGCTGAGTATCTAGTATACATTAGGCACTTTTCTTTTTAATACCTCATTTAAGCACCTGAAGAATCCCCGACAAGTTGCAATCTGTCTTTCCTGACCTAAATCTTGTTTTGTGGGTAGGTCATTGTTTTGCTTCTCATGAGGAGGAGAGACTGGAGAAGTTAGTGACTTATCTGAGATCTCACGGCTGCTCATGGAGGTAGATAATAGAGACTGATTAAGACCCGGCTCTTCCTTGGTTTCAAAGTGTGTGTGTGTGCGTGCGCGTGCATGCATAAGTGCATGCGTGCACATGCCTGCCCACACCACCGTTTACTTTTGCCAGAATCAGAATCAAGGCTCTGGATAGGCAGTGATGGGTGGGCAGGATTCAGATAGGCAGCAGATTGGGACAGACTGTGCCATCCTCCCCGACAACACTATTGGGATGTTTATTTTCCTATTGATGTTGCTAAGTGTAGGATCTTGAAATAATTTTTTTTCTTTTTTGCCTCTCTTCTGCTCTTTTTCTAGGATAATGAAGAAGGTTGTAGGAAACCGATCTGGCTGCCCAACTGTAGGAGACAGGATCGTTGAGCTCATTTATATTGATATTGTAGGACTCGCTCAATTCAAAAAAACTCTTGGGCCATCCTGGGTTCACTACCAGTAAGTGCTACATGCTGTCCTAAAGTTGATAGAGGAGTTCATTTGGTTTGAACAGGGGTAACATGGTTACAGGCAGAAAAAGCCTATCAAATATTGCCTGTTGGACTGTGGGAATAAGTTTCTCATTCCTAATTGAAATTCACATTCTCCACAGTGACTTTTTACTTTCAAAGGCTATTCATTATTTTCATTGATTTCTGTTAAGAATAGAAAATAAGTGTCCAACCACTTCTTTACCTTCCCTAATACTCATCATTCCTCTCTGTGTGCCTACACCAGTCTCATTTGTTTAAGTAACAATTTGGATAAAATGTGGAAAATATCATTTCTTATGTTGCTCTGGTTTGAGATGATGACTCATTTCTCTTTCCCTTTCCCTCGTGAGTTGTCATTTTTGGAAGAAAAAGCTGTGAATACCTTGTATGAATGTTGGGGTCTTGTACTTTTTAAGGAAAGACTCATGCTGAGAATGACCTGAATGCTTACCTTTATCATTTTGAAGAACCCGTTGTTTCCCTCAGCGTGGTTTTGGGACCATGCTACACTGTTTGAAATGATTTTACATGGTATACAGTCATGGCATTAAATAACAGTGAATTATATAATGAAATTTATTAATCTTGAAGTTTTCCTTCAATCTTTCTACAAAGGCTTAGTTTGGTGCTGTGATACCTCCAACACATCTTTTAATGCTTACATGCATTTTTAACAAAATAAGGGTAGCTGTCAGTTTCAGCCTTCAGGCAAAGTATCCAGTTTAAATTTAATAATAATTTTTAAAGAAGAGAAATATGCTATTTTTGGTTATCTTCCCCTTACTATAGTTGGTACTGGCTTTTATTTATGGCCTCTAGAAGTTTCAAATAAATGTAAATAAATATATTGTATCTAAATGGTGACAGTGGTACATTTGGGTAAAAATCATGAAGTTAATACCAACCTGACTGATAGTGAATGTTGACTTATAGTTTTCAACCAATTTCCTAGAAGAACACTTGGAAAATCTTTCAAGTAATGTAACTTAGAAATCCCTCTATGTGTCACTTTTTTGTTGCATAAATAGATGTTTTGGTGTGTTCTTCTAATTTAACCAATAATTGAATCCTTAACAACTTGAACTAGGTCCATTTCAGGCTAGTTTATAGTTTAATATTATTTATTAAATTTAATCTCCAAGCCTGTGTCAGATTGCAAGTCCTTTAGTTGAAATTCAAAAGAAATGAAAAGTCAAAATAATCCTCTCCAATCTTATCCAAAACATAGTAGGGAAACCACCTATTGTCTGTAGAATTTTCTTGCAGTTTTCTTGCCAATAGCAATAATTGTCTCAATACTCAGGAACAGAGGGAAGGAATAGGTTGAGAAGAGACTGTGCACTTTTCATTTCCCTTTGGATACAGTTTCATAAAAAAGCAAAATAAAAATCTTGGTTTGGGCCAGGATAGCACTTTACCTTCTGCATCACATTATTCCTGTTTTTTTGGTTTGCTTTTTCCTTGAAATCTTCATACATCACAAGCCATCACATTTGTTCTCAGTTATGTGGAAATAACCATCTTTCTTTTTGGTTAATAAGCCATGTAAGTAAACAGTCTTTTTTTTTTTTTTCCTTTTAGCTACAGCATTAAAGAAAGAAAGGGAGAGCTATTGTTCTCTGGCATTTAGCAAATGGCAGGCATCTGGTAGACGTGCAAAAGGAACAAGGCATTACGGGCATCCCTAGATTCACATATCCTCACCATTAAGAAGGGTTGTTTGGATGGAAAGATGTCCTCAGTGGTAGTGTTCAATTAAAAAGGATGATTTCATTATTAAAATGATCACCACTGGTTGGTATTTGATTCTTATTGAGTGAAGAGGCATCATCTCAGAGGAGTTTTATGGAAGGGTATAATATTTATCCTCCCTTTCTTTAATAAATCATCTACGTTAGTGATATTAGCTGGCCGGAGGTCCGTTAGGATTTTAGCCCTGCAGTCTTTGTTATGTGATGAAGCTAAGATTTCATCAAAAAACCAAGCAGGTCCTCCAGAAAGTTTCTTGCCCACTTCTTTTCCCTTCGAAGGCAAGACATTGTCAGAGCTCCCTGAATTCATCTTGGATGATTGTACATGGTAGGAGTTCCATTAAATGTAAAGGTATCTATCATCTGATCTTTCATTTAGGAGCAAAACCCTGAGTCCTGGGGATCCCTGGGTGGCGCAGCAGTTTGGTGCCTGCCTTTGGCCCAAGGCGCGATCCTGGAGACCCAGGATCGAATCCCACATCGGGCTCCCGGTGCATGGAGCCTGCTTCTCCCTCTGCCTATGTCTCTGCCTCTCTATCTCTCTCTCTGTGACTATCATAAATAAATAAAAAAATTAAAAAAATACATTAAAAAAAAAACAAAAACAAAAACCTTGAGTCCTGTCGATCTTGGAAAAATATTTGTAAATTCTTTCCAATTTATGTAGGGACCCAAGAAATTGAATTAAACATGTTTTCAGTGCTGGCATGCAACCAGTATACCACTAGGGACTGCAAAACTCATACCCATTTTGCTTCACATGAGATCTTTGCTGAATATTGAGGACACACAGCAAAACGGGGTGCACCTAGTGCAAGATATACTATGCTTTACATCTAACTCCAAATTAGAAGTAGGTTCTGGCAAGGAAGTTTTAAACATCCATCTTATAGTAGTGTGGCTTAGAGCAAAGAGAATGTTCCAGGAGTCATTTGGCATTGCCACAGCAATTACTGTTAGAAGGAGGCCAGCTGCCTCGGGCAGCAAGGCAAATATTTTTTAAGTTATCAGTCTGTTCCTGATGTTTCAGACACACAAAAGACATTAGAGGAACTGCATAAATATTAACATAAACCCAGTTCCAAACACACAGCTGTAGAATGTGATTGAAAAATGAAAACTATAATGTTAAACCTCTTCTGCTGTACACAGAGATCAGTCCCCTGCCTCTGGTTTATAAAACAAACCCAGGTCAGCTAAAAAATAGACAATTCCCCAAACAAAGCTTAAGTATGAGGATGTCGAATTACAAGTTTCTCAGACATTTGATCTACTCTACAGCTCTCTGTCGGGAAGAAGCCCAACATCACATAGCACTGTATCAAAGTCCAGGCTTGCAGGCATTAGGCTCCCACCAGGTATCTTGACTCATCAGGGTTTGTCTTAATTATCTAAATTTAAAATAAAACCAATAAAACTCCAAGTTAAAAATAAATCACAAGCCAAAGCTAGAAAGGAATATACCCTGTTAGAGTGGATTGCAAATGAGTGGAAGTAGCCAAAGCCTTCAAGACAAAGGTTCTTATGACAAGGCTGTCCCATTCTCCCTGCTGTGCCTGCATAGAGCCTGTAATCTTTGAGTCTCAGCCCTGGCCATTGGGCAGGAGCCCAGCAGCCCCACCTGTCAGCGTGTGTCCCTCGGTCCCTTCCTGCTCTGCAGCAGCCTTCTACAGAACAGGCACTGTCTTCCCTACTGTTCTCTGAACACTGCCGACTTCCTCAGAAGAAAATACAGTGGCTGTAACCAGTGGCTTTTGTATCTTATTTTAAAATATAAGTTGAAGAGTTAATTAATATAGGGGATTTTTATGTGAGTTTTTAATGTAAACTTTGATATTAAAAAACATATATAAGTTAAGGAATGGGGATGTTTTATTAAGAGGAGAGAAGGAATACCCCAAGCTATTCAAAGACTAAGGAAAACACACAGGGGATGCCTGTGGCTCAGTGGTTGAGCATCAGCCTTTGGCTCAGGGCATGATTCCAGATTCCAGGGATTGAGTCCCACATCAGGCTCCTTGCAAGGAGCCTGCTTCTCCTCCCTCTGCCTGTCTCTGCCTCTCTTTCTGTGTCTCCATGAATAAATAAAGTCTTTAAAGAAAGGAAAACACACACTGGTTAGTATCTTGGCTCCCCAGCTTTCTTTTTCTCTGACTGTGGGCTCCCATTTCTGTCCATCTATTGGTTTTCAGGCAGATAACATATTTTTGAGGATAATTTTGAAAATTGTCACTGTGATGGTAGCATGTTCCTTGAGAGCCACACAGAAGTCCAAAATAAGGAAATGCTATCTGTGGTCACTTGTATTCCCTCCCGTCCTCTTTTCCTCCTTTCCTTGGGTAGACAAAGGGTGGTCATCTCATTAGAGATGACTAATGAGAAAATCATCACAGTAAAGTGGCAATTTACTATTGATTTTTCTGGAAAATCTAAACTGGTGTTTGCATTTTGTTTTTCTGAATCATACATTGGTGTAAAAAAAAAAAGTTGAAAGAACGCCTTTAAAATAATTGGAAAAGGAGGAAAGAAACTTAATCCAGTACTTAAAACTCACTTGCCATTATCTGATTCTAAGATGTGGACTTTAATACTTATTTGCGTTTATGCTTATTGGTCCAGTAAGAGCCATTTGGAAGTGTTGTTGATGTATAACCACAGAAACCAGACTTCATTGGCCAGACACAAGCTAAATTTATATCAATGTTTGGAGGATCACTGATGAATTGAAAGAATAAGTTAATTAATAATGAAGGTTTCAGCATTGATTTCTGTTTCAGCATTGATTCTTGCTATTGGTAGTTGTTTCTGTACTCTAAAGCAGTGATCAATAGGCTCTGTCAAGACCATGTAGTAAATATTTTAGGCTTTGCTGGCCACATGGTCTCTGTGGCAACTCCTGAAGTTCTCTGTTACTGAGTGAAAATAGCCATAGACCTAAGTAAACAATTAGGTGTTGCTATGTTTAAATAAAACTTCATATCTGAACAATGAAAAGTGAATTTCAACTAATTTTCATGTCACAAAATATCCCCCCCGCCCTTTTTTTAAACTAACAAAGATCATTCTTAGTTTACAAGCCACACAAAAATAGGTGGTAGACCAGATTTGGGTGACCCAGTTTGAATACTTTGTTGGAAGAGCCAAATTAAACATCTTCATTTTTACTTCTTCAGGCTCTGGAAGAAAGCAGTAATGCTTTGGTACTGTCAAGAACATAAAATCAACACAGCTGATTACATGAGATTCTAAACTCTACCTAAAATTAAATACTCTTATTAATTGATGAACATGCTAAATGATTGTTGAAAGAGCTAAGGCATACCATATGCTGTAAGGAGAGTAAGGCCTCTATCTTAGTCCATTTGGGCTGCTCTAACAAAATGCCACCAAGTGGATGGCTTAGAAACATTTATTGCTCACAGTTCTGGAAGCTGAAGTGCAAGATCAGAGTTCCGGCATAGTCGAGTGAGGCTCTCCTTCCTCCAGGTCTCAGACTTCTTGCTTTGTCCTCACCTGCTGGAAGGAACAGGGAATTCTGTGGGGTCTCTCTCATTTCTTTTTTAATTAATTTTACTTATTTTAGAGAGAAAGTGAGCCAAGAGCAGGAGGGGCAAAAGGACCGGGAGAGAGAGAAGCCTAAGCAGACTCTCTCCTGAGCATGGAGCCCAACATGGGGCTCTATCCCAGGACCCTGAGATCACGACCTGAGCCAAAATCAGGAGTTGGACAATTAACTGACTATGCCACCCAGGCAGCCCTGTGGAGTCTCTTTTATAAGAACACTAAACCCATTCACGAGAGCTCCACCTTCACGACTTAACCCCCTAGTGCCCCATTTACTAGTACTGTTACTTTTGGGGTTAGGATTTCAACATAATTCGGGAGGGGAATACAAATATTCAGACCACAGCCACTTCTACAAACAGTAGTTCTTTGTTTCTTCAACAACCCTTCATTAGGCACCACTGTATGCTCAGCCCTCACTAGGGGTACAGCAGTAAACATGGCAGTCTGCAATGCCAGCTCCTATGGGACTTTATATTTTGCTGGTATTTGAGCAATCTTCTGTGACTTGTCTGTCAGCTAATCTGAAGCAAAACATATGTATGTGTGATGGCTCAGCCTCAGAAGTCACACATGGAGATGTTTGGCATATACCATAGTCTCTCACTTCCTGCCCACCAGTGTTTCTGATTGAAAGTATTCTCCATTTTTGGTAGTCCTTTGGAGTTTTTACCTTTTTTTCTTAAGATTTTATTTATTTGTTTGAAGGAGAGAGAGAGAGAGAGACTGAGCATGAGTGGGGTTGCGGGGAGGGGGAGTGGGTAGAGGGAGAAGGAGAAGCAGACTCCCTGCTTAACAGGGAACCTGAGACAGAGCTCCATCCCAGTAGCCTGGGATCATGACCTGAGCTGAAGGCAGACACTTTACTGACTGAGCCACCCAGGTGCCCCAAGTTTTTACCTTTTGAACTTTGGGGTCAAGATTGTAGTTTTATCAACATTGCTTTCTCCTTTCAGGTGCATGCTCCGAGTCCTGGATTCATTTGGTACGGAGCCAGAATTTAACCATGCTAACTATGCCCAGTCTAAAGGCCACAAGACGCCCTGGGGCAAATGGAATCTGAACCCGCAGCAGTTTTATACCATGTTCCGTGAGTATTCTCACTTCATCTCTACTTTCCAGAATGCTACCGAAGGCAAACGGGAAAAGAAACTAGAACGGGTATTTTGGGTTATGAGTCTCCGGGCTTTTCCCTGTAGAAATGTGTGCTGTGGAAACTTTCCGTTGGGAATAACAGATTTGTTGTTGTTGTTTAATTGGAATTGAAAGGCCATGTGAGCATTTTGTGAAAAGCCTTAGAAGCATCCTGAAGGAAAAAAAAAAGTTCAATATGAAGTATCAGTAAAAACCATTTGAGAAACGACTTTGTGTGGATTCTGGATTAGCAGGTTCTAAACACATTTCATTCTGCAAATGGCCCACTTGATTACTGATGAGAAATGAGCTCTTTCATGTAGATAGATTTTTCCAGACAAAAAGTCTTAATTATTTAAGCATCAACCCTTGTTAAGAAAAAAGTCAGCTTTTTTTTTAATGAAACTATTTTAAACTCTGTTCCATACTTAATCAGCTTTTAAGCACTAGCCCAGAATGAAATCTCATGTGCCCTCGTTCACAAGGTGTCATTGTTGCCAACGGCAGTGATAATTTCAGGAGGTGTTGTCACAGATACTTAAAAAATGGTGAATTAACTGACCTCAACAGTGGGGGCTTCGCATTTTTCTGTTTCTGTAACATTCCCTTTCTCGCATTCACCATTCCTTACTGCTGTTATGAATTTACCGCCTCTGGCCTCATTTCCTTAATAATTAGCTGAGGACTGTGAAAGAAACTCCCACATTTGGTAATGATCGTGCCCAAAATAAGCTTAGAGTTTAAGTCCATAGGCCTCAGTGATGAGGTGAAGTCCTATTCTGGAAATGTCACGTAAGTTAAACATGACTTCATTTGGATGCTCAGAGTGGGGAGTTCCCATTTTCCAAAGTTGTCAGTATAATTTTAATCCCAAGATTTTCATCATAGAATTAGTATCTGAGATGTAAATCTGTTTCCTTTGTTAAAGCCCAACAGACCCGTGGCCTACTTTTTCTCTGTGTGGGTGCCCCTCCTCCTTGTATGTAGTCACCTGAAGATGACCCTTTTCTCATGTTCACTAAACATAACAGAATACATTGGACAAATCTTTGCATGTGATGTATGAGACAATAGAATTAAGAAGGGTTATAGCAATCGGAAGGTAGTGATTTAAAACTCAGCTCATGGTCACGTGTTCTTTTCAGCTCAGAAGGATTTTTAAGAGCATGTTATATGTATGGCAGACTTTTTTAAAAAGATTTTATTTATTCATGAGAGACAGAGACATAGGCAGAGGGAGAGGCAGTTTCCCTGTGGGGAGCCTCATACGGGGCTCTAGCCCAGGACCCCAGGATCACTACCTAAGCCAAAGGCAGACGCTCAACCACCAAGCCGCCCACGTGCCTGACATTATTATTGTTCCTGGAGCTCTATCATCCTGCTATTGTAACCTGTCTTGGGGGCACAGTTTAGAGGACAAACTAATAAATGGCACATTGGGTGACAAATGGCTGGCCAGTATGGTAAGGCATGATTGGAGTTAGCCTTTGGTTTGACTTTATTGTATAACTCTTGAGGGGCTGGAATGAGGTGGTACAAAATAATGTTAGAAGTGACCTCTTCATTACATCAGATGAAAAATGTTAGATGTTTCGAAAATGGCCAGAACAGCCTGAATGATATGCTATATGTATGTCCTCTACAAGATGGTGTTGCCTTGTATCTCGGGAGTAGAAATAGGAAGTGTTTCCAGAAAGTATAGAGTTCTGTGAGAATGTTGAAATTCAGAGTCCTAAAAACCCATTTTGTTCTCCACGAATGGAGGATTTCAACAGTGTTGATTAACTAAATTGAAAGAAATTCATTGCTTAAAATGTAACTAAAGATGAAAACACAGATTAATTCCTATTAACCTGGGAAGGGGATGAATTTTCTAACTGATTCAGAATTCAGCAGGAATCTGGGGAGGAAACAGGTACATTTGACTGCCTTTAAAAAAAATAAAAATAAATAAAAATAAAAAAAATATGGTGAAAGCATAAGCAAAATTATATCTTGATGGGTTAGTATCCTTTAATATATAAAGAGCTTCTAAAGACTGAAAGAAAAGTTTCGTAATCCAACAGGAAAATGGGCAAAGGCCATTATTCATTTTGAGGAAAAAGAAGCTTATTGCCCCAAACATTTGAAAACATATTACCCTCATTCACCGTAAAGAGAAATGCATATTTTAACTGCACCAAGATACCATGTCCCAAACATCAGGCTCACCAGGATCCAGAAGTTAATAGCATAGCTATTCCAATGGTGAGGATCTGTCCATCTTTTCCTGCCCTACTAGTGAGAGCATAGCATGGTACTAACAGGGGGAAGCATATTTGTCACGATCTACCAAAACTATCAGTACATCTTCCCTTTGACTGAGCAGATCATATCTAAGAGTTTCTCCCAAAGATAAGTGAGCAGAAATAAAATATGATGCGTGCACAGGTTATTTGTTGTGACACTGTTTGTAATAGGCAAAGACTGAAAATAACCCAGATGGTCATGATAGGGTACTGAGTGAATAACATGGTCTGCTGACAGAGGGAAGTACTTTGAAACTGGGAAGAACAGTGAGGACAGTCCACACAGCTCTGAGGGAGATGACTGGGGTACATTCAAGTAATGAAACCAGAATGCAGGGCATCTCGTAAACGTACTCCGTTTTGCATAAGAAGACAGTGTTTGTGTACGTTAGTGTATATGAATTTTCCTGTATTTTCAAAAGAAAAAAATGTAAGGTTAAATAACAAGCTGATGAAAGTGACTATCCCTGGAGGAAAGGTGTGCAGGATCAGGGACAGAAAGTAGATGTCTCTTTAATGCACCATATTTTGGCCTAGGAATCATGTAAACATTTTTATGTAATTTAAGAGAGAGAGAGAGAGAGATGGAGAGATTGAGAGAGAAAGCATTCACTTAAAACTGAAAACAAATTGAAAAAATGGAATAGGCCTAGTGCTCTATCAGATTAATATGACTATCCCACATAGAGAAAATAATTACTTGGAGTGACTTTAAAACTCCCTCTTTGGTCCATACATTCACAAGAGGAAATATTTGCACTGTTACTTGAAACTATTAGAGGCATACTGTAGGAGCCAAGATTTTCTTTTTTTTGTTAAGATTTTATTTATTTATTCATGAGAAAGAGAGAGAGAGAGAGAGAAAGAGGCGCAGAGACACAGGCAGAGGGAGAAGCAGGCTCCATGCAGGGAGCCTAACATAGGACTCAATCCTGGGTCTCCAGGATCACACCCTGGGCCAAAGGCGGCGCTAAACCCCTGGGCCACCCGGGCTGCCCAAGATTTTCAGTATACAAGAAGGTGGGTAGTATTTAAAGAATTTAGATAAAGACTGTATGATCCTCGGCTCAAAGAGGGCATATCAATGTCAACGTACATTTCTCTTTAAAAAATAAATGTTTCCTAGCTCTGTACTTTGAAAAGGATCAAAAGTAAAGACGGCCCGTAGCAAGGAATATCCTTGGCACTTAGATTGGGAACCTTATAAATATCTTTCCCTCTCCAAGGAACCTCCTGCTTGGTTAAATAGCCAATTCCAGGTCTAGGGCAGGAAATGTCCACAAAGGGATATCTCTACATGCCAGAAAGCAAGGAAGCTAAGGAAGACCCCTGGAGTGGAGTCAGAAGGACTGAAGAACCAAAGACGGGGTGGTCTGAGAATCAGGAAGAAGAAAAGCTATCGTGGATTACAGTCACATCAGTGACAGGCACTCCAGGAGTCCAGATGATCCTCCAAACAGGAGAAGCCCACAAAGTCCATCGATCCCCCCTTTGCTAGTTGCTAGGACACCACTTCATTACTCTGAAAAATAAAGGGAAAGAATCCAGCTTTGATCCTGCCTTTCTAGGCCAAGTTGTATTTGAAGATAATCAGAAAGTTGATGAAAGAAATTTGTTAATCATGAAGAAATCACAGCTAATAAATGCCAAAGGAATGAAGAATGAGAAAATCAGCATTTTAGTACTGGAACAAGACAGGAATCATCCACGGTTGCTACAGCCTTCATGTCACAGGTTGATGGAAAGCTTTCTCATGGAGGACGCTGTCTTAATTGGAGAAAACACGGACATGAAGAGGACAATTAAGTAGTTCGAGACCTTTGTCCTGTTGCATTGTGTCCAGGCTGGAGAATTGGCACAAAACAGTAACTCCCAAAGCCTGCCCACAGAGAACTTGGGTGCCGCCTTGAGAGGGGGTTCTTTCCTACCTATATGACAAAAGTGTGGGTCTGGCCCAACCCAGTCATCCCCACAGAATCTCCCATTCCCTCACCCTTCGGGTACATGTGGCTATTCCAGTGATCTGAAAGGGGAAGATCGTTGCTTTGAGCGTAAGAAGGAAGTGTCAACTTATATTTATGCATTGTTGATTTTTTTCAAACACAACATATTTACTAGTGTTTCCTGTGTGGGTTGATAGTAATCATTACATACTTGATGTGTAAACACGCACGTGTATTACAGGTGTACTAGATTGTGTTCTGATGGGGGTGCAAAATGGAAAGTGTAGATCCACAGGAATCAAGTGTTGTACTTGTAGAGCTCTGTCGTCTTCCAGTCCAGCTGTCGTCTGACCAGATTTAGCAGTGTTCCCGCATGTGTGAAGCGCAGAGAGGATGGGAAAGCTGGTCAAAAAGGGCCCAGCTGGAGGATAAAGAAAGAGAGAAACGCACCATTGCTGATACATCTTTAGGGGCAGTGCCATGGGGTTGTGCTGACCAAAGCATGTTTGCTCTAAAACTTAAATTCAGATTCAACACTTCTCACTTAACTGCTTCTATTTCTCCTCTAACTCATCTCCTCACAGAGTTGGTGGAGTTTCTTGCAAGTTGAAAAACCTGATTTTTCTAATCGTTTTGCTCCAGATCTCAGAATTTCACTGCAACCATCCTCTTTGTGTATTCTGTTTGCATTTGGGCATTTTTGTACGTGTCAACATGGACTATTC